AATTTTCTTTATATAGCAATAGCAGATTCAGATTCATTATCTCTCACTTATCAGTTGAGTCAAGATATCAGAAAGAGACTTAAATTCATAATGATTTCCTCTATCCGAGTCTAAGATTTTGAAATAGCAGATATCGTATACAGTCGTGCTCTGGCATTTTTCGGGCTCGTGCAGTGAGTCGCCTTGTCTATTCGAGCTTCGCTTGAATGGCAGCCTAGTTTTTTTCTCTTTGGCCTGTTTCAGTTTCTGTTTGAGTTTTATTTATTTTCCCTTTGATCAAAGAAAAAATAAATAAAACTGAAAGAGAAAATAGCTTGTTCTCTTTAAAAAATTGGAAACAGAACTTCGCTTATGCATAGCCAATCTGGTCCACCGAAAGATTAAAAACCATTAGCTCTTCATAACAGAAAATGTCCTGGGAGAAAGGCAGAATGTAAGAAAAAATTTAGGAGGGGGAAATCACCCTGCTTCCCTCTCCTAATCGTAAGCTATGCAAACCCTATTAGCTTTGATAGGCTTTTTCTTAATCTTACTACTTATCGTCACAAGATAAAGTTGAACGCTCAAAACTCGTTGTTGAAGTATTTTCCTCCTGAAAAAGAGAGCAAAAAATTCTTAATTGATCAAATTTTTACCAAACTTCATGATTGACAAGGAATAGGTTTCAATCATGTTTACAATGTTAATATGAGTTTATATTCAGAAAACTATTTCTATAAATTTGACCAAAAAAAAAGGTCTAAATTGCTGATTCTGATATAAAACACATTTTAAAAGTGAGAACTATCAATTGGCGGCAAGAAAATTGTTTATCTCCTTTTCTTATGATAAGAGTGAAGAAATATGGAACAAATTTTGGTTATTCAGATGCTTTTTCAATGAATACCAATCATACAGATAAATTATATCTATCAAGGTAATAATTGGGTTTGTAAAAGTTATGTTATTTTTTATAGAAAAGTTTAGATCAATCTGTTCCTACTATTAATATTCAAGGAGAAATTTGTCAATAATGTGTGCATTAATTTATCCATTCTGAACGATATTTAAATGTCGTTCTTCATTTTCCATAATTCTTAACATCACAAAAATAATACTGGCAACACATTAAGACTTTTTTTCGTACAACTTTTAGATGTGAAATATTTTTAACATAATTCTGGAAAAGTATATGGTGAAATATATTAAAATTCATTAGAAATGTATCTGTTAGTGAAAAATAAAAGCATTCTTTAACTAGATGATTATATGAATACAAGAATGATATTTTTTTGTTAATTCCAATGAATCGTAAACAATATAGAGAAAAGCTACAAATTTCTTTAAAAACTTTTAGACAATTAATGGTCATTGTTAACAGTTCACTTTGTAATAAATATAGAATAGATATAACATGGGTTGGTGTACTTAATATAGGTTCACTTCATACGAATTCTCGTTCGTCATAATTTGAAGAATGAATAATGGATGAATTCAGTTTAATCACATAACTATTCCAGGAACGAGTGTCTCACAAACTTCATTATTTATCATTATTTGCTTAACAACTATTCAATGTATTTCAGTTAATGCGGACAAAAACTTTGTATAATTGACAAAATAAAATGTCTTTGAATCAAAGAACATCAGTCAATGAAAAAGACAAGTACGATGAAGATCCTTTATTAGGCACGTAATAAATAAAACTTGAATTATAAAAACAACCAGGCATTTACTGGTGAGGCACTGGAGAAGCTTTGCATACACACGGATAGTTGAAAGTAATACCGAATCTTTAGACACATGTTTAAACTTCTTGAGCAAGCAATCAGATATTTGAGACAGCCAATACTTGAATATTTGAACTTCATTTTTTCAATAACTGAATTCAAATTTGAATTTTTACACTAATAAATATTCAGAAGCAACGTCGAAAATTGGATTATAACGTACAAATTTCATAAATTTCACTAGAAGCAATTTGTGTTGAAACCATTTTAAGATATTTCACTATACGATTCTATTCTGTAAGTGAAGTCTCTATTTTAGTCTTATGAAAAATGAGAATATCTTAAATAATTATTTTATATAATTATATAAATTAAGACTTTCTAAAATCTATATGTAGACAGATTTAGATGCAAACACTCCTACTATTCAAGCAATGGTATATCGTAGCAACATCAAATGACAAATAGTCCAATCAAAATTGAACCATCTGTAAACAACAACACTATCAAAACCAAGACTCATACTTCGTATCCAATTTATCCCGAGTGCCATCTAATTAGCATTTTTCTTATACTAGGTTTATATACTTTGTAAAGAACCATGTTGAATTCGAGATTTTCCCATAGACATAATAATGCTTATCAAACATATTTGTATTTAACAACATATCGATTAGATCATTTTTCTTTCAAATTGTGAAATAAATGATAAACTTTTCGTCCAGCCATTCTTTTATTAATATTATTTGTTATCTTCAACATAGGATGTTTTTACGACAAATAGTAAAAAGAATTTTATTTCTCTAGAAAATTCTCTAAATTTGTTTTTAAACAAATGCATGTGAAATTTAAATGAAGATGATTCTATTTTTGTCCTTGAAGTAAGTATTCACTAGTGCAATGTGTCTTTTTTAGTCGATCCCATGGCGATCGAGTACACATTCACTATATAACTGCGTGATATCGTTAGACAAGATTTTTATCACTATTTGACGAGAGTATAACGAAAGGTTAAATGATTATCGAGAATGGCATGAACTATGTATCGTTCGAACAAAGATAAAACGTGATTGAGGCCCATATAAAAACATGCTTCTCCCTATATATAGTTGTACTATTTGCCTTCTCGTATTACATATCTATTATAAACATTTTATACATATAGCGATATATTAAAACCAATCGATAATGTCGTATGTAAGTACCACTACTATGCATGCTACATCAAATTCTGGATCAACTAAAATACATTCAACGAAAGCTGAAAATGTTCATGTACAATCAGTTGTTCAAACTGAAACACAATCAAAAGTTAATATTGAAAATGCTCAAAAGATAACTGATCTTATGACTCGACTTGGTATGTTTAATCGAATGAGTATAAAAGAAAATCTTGTTTTATTTCATTTTATATAAGGAACAACACATCATCAAGTTGATGAATATGCACGTAAACGTACTGAAGAAATTAGCGAAGCTGTTGCTGAATCAATTAAGAAAATTGTTGCCGAAGCACAAGAACATCAACAGCAACTTCTTTCTGATGCTAATTTACGTACAGCCGGTATTTATTTAATCAATTTTGTTTTAACATGAAATTTTATTCTCTTGTTAGAAATTGAAAACGATTTTAAACTTAAAATTCAAGAAAATATTGCTAAACTTGATATTGAAAAAGCAACTTTCCTTGCTCAACTTGAAAAAGAACTTAATATTCGACAAGAACTTATTCTTGAATCAGCACGTCAACGAATTGATAATCTTAATGAAGAAGCTAATCGTTTAAAGATGGTATGTTCATATAAAAAAAAAAAACTTTATTTTCTTAAATAACTCTTCTTTTTTATATCTATAGGGTGTTCTTAGAGAAGCTCAAGCTCAAAGCAATGCAAAAATTAGTAAAGATTTCTATTGAACTAAATCGTTAATCTATTTGATTTTATCATAGATCATATTACTGAACAAGTTGTTGCACTCGGACAAGAAGATGCTTCACGTCGTCTTGCATCAACTACAACTACAGTATGTTTTTTCATGTTTTTCTTTTTATTAGTTGAAATCTTCTAAGTATATATTATGCTTGAAGGTTATTACAACCAAAGCAGCAGCTGCTAATAAAATTCATGTTGAATCATCAAAATTAATTAATAGTTCATCATCGTCATCACATGTTTAATCTCAATAATGTTTATAAATCAAATGATACAAGCGAACGGTTTTTTTTCTCGTTGAAAAATATTTTATTCTTGCATTTGTTTATTGAATATTTTTTTGTGCGAGTTGTGATTTACAGTTAATAAAAAGAAAAACAGAAGAAATTAACTGACGTTTATTTTGATTTAAGAGGAAATCTCGTACACACTTCATTCATAATAGACGTTATAAAATAATGAAATGAAATCATTTATTTTTTGTCTACATCTTTACTACATTACTATTTACTTCTGTTGAGATTACAGTAGTGATCGATTTTTTAGAAATATTATAGAGAAAGTATGAAGATTAAAATGAATCATATTTTGATGATTTATTTTGCCGATTTAAGCTAAAATAAAGAAAGGCTAATTTCTTTGTAAACTGACTAAAGCGTTCTCCTTTCACGAACAGAAAAAAAAAATAGTAACTCTTGATTCAGTTGCTCTATCTCGAGTTGTAACCAATAGAGTTTTTTTTCCTTATCTGTATCGATATTAGTCTACCAAACTGTCAGATCGGAGTAGTCGATGTACTATCATGAGTCACTCTACATTTTTTTTTGGCTTCTGACAATCAAATACAGCCTTTGATTAGTCATATCTATCTCTTAATCACTACAGTAATGGCATAACAATTCTGTTTCATAAAACTACAAATTCTCTATTTTCTTTGAATTCTGATTAAATATTCATCATACGTTATATTCATATTGTTATTTCTTATATCTATGCGAAGTATATACTATAAATATTAGGAAATACAAGTACATCTATGCAAATTATCATGCTAAATATTTAGCCGATTTTGCTCTTATAACAGAACTTGATATCAATATAAGTTAATAAAAAAATGAAATCTTCTAATTTAAATAATGTTTGGCATCAGTATTATAACTATCTGATTTATGAAGAAAAAAGAACACTTTTGTAATCATTTATAAAAAAAAATTATATCTTTGTGTACTACAACAATCACATACATTGACATCATGTTTCTATAATTCATTTATCATATATAAAAAGTACAATGAAATTCAATTATCAATTGTTCAAACAGTCGAGACAGAAAGTTGGACAGAAGATGATGATGATCCAATACGAATTTTCATGTTAAATATATAATTCTATCTATTATTTAAAAAAAAAAACAAGCATTCTAATGTAAATGAAAAATTTATTTCATTATGGAATTTTTCACTTCTATTTTATTTTGATTGATATATCCGTTAAGAATCTATCGGCATGAATATAATTTCATATATCTATTTGATTAATTTTATTTATAGAGAACTAATTCAATAAGAGAAAGAAGAAAAAAAGCTGATTCACACGTACACACTTATCAAATATATGGAACCACAATCGGGCTCTGTTTTTACGTATTCTCACTACTTTACTATATAATATTTAGAATATTGACATGCATGATAAAAAGCAATTTATTGAAAAAAATGACACAAAAACGTCATTCAATGCTAAATGTTTTTGGACGTTATACGATTGTTTTAATATTCAATCTCATCATTGTACTTTGATTATAGAAATATGAATTGATCTTTCTAATATTGACATAGAAATACTAAACTAGATAAATTTAAATAGCCTTCCTATAGTTCGATATGTAATAGAGACTTGCTAACATAAAACATCTCATTCTTTTTATTAGTATTCATAGTTTTGATATAAAACTAACAAAGGCAATAAGTTTTGAAGAATAATCCACAACATACATTGATACATGAGAGAAAAAGCAGAAGATAATATACGCTCACAGCAAATAGACACAGAAGATTGCACAAAAAGGAAAGTACAAACAAATATTTTTATTCAGTTCCAGTAACGATGCCAATAACGTATGACAATATTAAGAATATATTTGATTAAATAAGTGAATAAGACAACATATCGTAGTCATAACATAACACATAATTGTTTTTCTTTAAATGGATTATCTATGTGAAATTTATCCCAACCAACAACTAAGACATCACCACTTTCGTGATCTTGACAATATTTAATTAAATCTTTACATGCAACAGATACTTTCATACGATCAAAATTAGCTTCAGCACGTAGTTGTTCAATTAATTTTTGTTTGTTGCCAACGTTTGACATTTTTCAATGATTTAATTCTTGAAAATATAATATAAAATCTATAAAAAAAATCCAGAACAATATTTTCTGATCTATTCTATAGAATGAATATGATGTTTTTTTCCTTTCTATTACTATGAAATATTTCTGTGAGACTCCTTTTTTTTTTTTATTTAACGGAAGAAGAAAAAGGGTGATAGGTTTTGCTTTTCTGTTTCTATAACAGGAAATAAGACAACAACATTAACAGAAAGCTCATTTTTCTTTCACTTTTTATTCTCTTCCATTGTTGACATCGGCTTAATCAATGACTTGTTCAAACTTACATCTATCGTCAAATAATTTCTAATGACTAATGGCTTTTTTTGTTTTCTATCATGCGATCAAATAACATCGTAATGAAATTTACATAATGATTTATTTTACATATTAAATTAGTCATGTATACATAAATTTCAAAATCTATAAGTGCCATTTTCTTTAAAAAATGACTTCATATCTTCAAATCTAGATGACTTTATTTCTTTTGAAGTATTTGGAAATTCCACAGTATGAACATAACTTATATTAAACTTAACACTTTCAAGTGTTTCTCCGAAACAAAAATTAAGCATACTGCAAGAAGATAAATACTTCCGTCAAATGTCATCAGTCAGAAAAAAACAAGAATGAATTCGCATAAATAAAATCGAACGTCATATACTGTTTATAGGAGAATCAACAATGATAAATTTCGAAAGTGATTTTCGTTTTTATTTTGATATGTGAATATTGCGTACTGTTGGTAGATACACTAAGATGATGAATATCGAAGTTTCTATTCATAGGTTTCGTTTAATTTTGTTTTCAACGAGAAAATTCCCGTCTTTCCGTCGCCTGATTGTATATCTGGTTTCTAATCACGATTGTCCCGGATAGACATGAAACCAGCGACTCATATCAAAACAATCTTTTTTTTAAGATATCGAGCAGTCTCATGAGAGAATCTAGCAAAGAAATAAATCGCTTTTTTTTAGATAAGTTTTACCTCATTAGACAGGCACTTTTGACACTAGAAATTATCTAAAAGGATTCATACTCATGGATTTTTCCTTCTGCTTTAGCGCCACTGTTAGTTAATTTTCAAATGAAACGTCATATTTTTCTTCAGATCACTTACAGAATAAACTTTGAATAAATAATATTTTTCCATGAAAGTAATTCTATTGAGAAACTATAAAAATTTCTAGAATCTCCTATTGTCAGATATAAATAATGAAAGTAACGTTTTGTTTTTCGTACAACAGAATTTCTACCATGAGTATCAGATGATAAAAAATTCGACTATTTCGCAATAAATTAATCCCATTGAGAATTTTATTTGTACAAAGCTTTAACTCGAAAGCCATTTTGAAAAGTAACCTTAGAAGAGCAATGCTATTTTTATTAAAAGCTTTACTATCATACTCGTCATTACCCAAGAAGAAAGATTTATCATTATGCATCTCTTAAATATTCTCTTATCATACTGCAAAGTATTTTATAAGACAAATCAAAAGCGACTTATCATTACGAGAAGGTCTGATCACTGAATGTCTAATTATCTTTAGACTGCACTTAAATGTAGGACCAATGACTAAAAGATAACATGCACCCAATCAAATGAAGAAAAGCATCGTTTTTTGCTTCATAACATATTGCTTACATACCCTAAACACATTCCTATTAATATGCAAATAATAAAACAATAAACAACTAAGTATAGATTTTCTAACCAAGTTATTTATATATGTAGAAAAAAATTAATATTAAGTACATAACAATCAACTATTGCAAAACAAGTTCTATAACAAAACAAAGAGAGAAACGAATCATATTAATTATTTTCTATTATAAAAAGCGAAAATATATCACTCGAGATTTTTCAGATTAATCAATTAAGAAGAGATCAATGATGTAAGAGAAAAGATAATAATTATATTAATTAAAATCAAAAACATGTTGAAAAACTGTTCATGAATTTGATAAATGTCGTGGAGCATTTGCAAACATAACTTTTAGTTTGTATGCTTCCGCTGTTAATATACTTATATCATTGCTTGTCCATGACTGTGTTGGTAAATTTTGAAGAAGAAGTAATAAACCCTATTTAATTCATAAATAAAAATAAAAAATAAAAAATCAACTCTTTTTGTTTTTGTTTTATTTTTTACATGAAAATCTTTTTCTCGTAAAAGATCTTTGGAAAAATGAATAAGAAATGCTGCACATATATACAAATGAAACTGAGAGAAACCATCTTGTTCAGCCTAAAGAAGAAAAAAAGATCGAAATTTGATTGTAAATTTTAAAAAGAAAAATACAACATACAAGATAAGTATCCCAAAGGCGAATAGTACATCTTACAGGTAATTCTCTCATAAGTAAATTATTCATCCAACGAAAAGCAAACTGTAAAAATTCAATATTTTGATTTTTTAAATGTCGATAAAGTGGTTCTAGAAAAAGAAAACAAAATATTTTTCGAAATAAAAAAGAAACAAAAGAAGTAAACGAATATTTTATTAAAACAAACCATCAATACGTTTAATAAGTTCTTCTAATGTTCGAACTTTATATTGAATACCAGGTTGAGCAAATGTATAATTATCTTGAATACCTTCAAGTAAATATGATGTTGCCCAATAGCTGTCAGCTTCAATGATACGTCGATTTGATTCAGATAATGAACTAATATCAAAATTTTCAATATCAACATCTAGAATTTTTGTTAATTTTTTTTTTTTATTCATAAAAACATTGTGTTTATCTTACCATTATCGACAAACTCCGAAAGAAAAACAACAAAAAATGGTAATACGAGATCATTTATACCTTGAACATAACCACTAGCTGGATGACGTATAGCCCAAATAAATAAAATACGTTCAAATAATTCTTGTACAACAACTTGTTGAAATATTGCCATTAATGGAGACATACGTGGAATGTCTATATGGATCTAAATTCAAGATTCATCATCAATATATGTTTTCAAGTGAGCAGAAATAAGTTTTTATCTAAGTATTTTCTTTCGAAAAGACAATTTAAAAATTTCATGAAAGTCTATATCAACATTTGGAAAGAGTAGACACATAGTATACGACATAAAAACTGATATGAACTAATTCAAGATCAATGAACTTTCGTTAAAATAGTGTCTTTCCCTACACATTACGAAAACTAACTAAACAATGTATAGTTGACTGAATCAAGTTTGCTACAATATATATAATGCAATATGATAATTTCAGAAATTTAACAAAAATGTTGAGAACGTTTATATATGTAAATATTGTCTTTTATTACCCTTAAAACAATTGAATATTATTATGTAATAATATACTACATCGTCTGTACTCAAGAGGAAGAAGACGAAATTCGTATGAACTTGGAAACAAGCATCTTTTGGTGTATTGCATGACTCGGTTTTATATCACATTCGGAGAAATACGATCATTATATTGACTCATGTAATACATCAATATCCCACGACTTAGTATCGTTTACGAGCACGTTCATTCGATCTGGGTAAACAACTTATCTTTCGAGAAAAATTGAACCCTCTGGTCTCCATATGGTGACAACACTAGAATAAATATGTATAGGAAGGATATTTTTATTTACGATTATGATTTGTTTCACTATTTCTCTTTCTGTATGCTGAACAACTACATTCATGATGCAACATATATATATATAAAATATGCAGTGAAAAATTATTGAACTAATAAATCAAATTCGATTTTCTCATCATCTGAGCTCCATGCTAAATATGATACTAAACCTGTCTAAATGTATCTTGATGTTCACTATCAGTACGTGTATGATAATACTGATTGACGTATGACCAATATTCATCACGTTTTCGTGTTAATGTATCTTCTCGTCGCTCGACTTTTGGTGGTAGATAACCCTGAAAATAAAACGAATAAACTGAAGAAATAAATTCATATTACATACACAAAGTAATTTCCATGCTTGTGCACGATATTGTTGACAAATTCCATTCCAACTAGCTTTACGAAGTTTATCTAAATAAATAAATTAAAAATTAAATTAAATTCTTATAATTGAAAAAACAATTTTTTTTTACCAAGATCAATTGTAGATTGATCAAATATTTGTTTAAATTTATTTTCTTTTTGTTGATCAATATCAGTCATTGTAACTAAATTAACTCGTGTACTATTAGTTGTAGAGGACGAAATTGTATTTGCATTAGTTGTATATCTCATAGGCATTAACGTTTTTGAATTTAGATTATCATCGATTCGTCGAACAATGCCTGGATATGAAGTTGAACTTCGATTAGTTGGTTTTCGAACTAGAATTAAAAAATTTTATTTGAAAAACATTTTGATTTATTTTTACACTATAAATTCATTTTTAATAAATATTGCCTTTCTAATACACGATTATCATGACTTATCTTTTTAGTTTTATTATGTGATCTAATTGCACTATTGACAAACGAAAAGTGACAGAACTTCATCCGGATGTCGGATTTCGTGACATAACTGAAGGTGAACAAGTTCTTCTTTTATTTTAGCTGCATATAAGTCATTTGAGTTCTTCTTCGTTTTTATTATAGTTTATATCACTTAGTTTACGAATAAGTTATCGATCAAAACTTCTCATATACTAGATGAATGATTCGATTTAAATAAAAGCTTTTCTTTAATCTACATTGTCATTTTGTTTTTTAGAATAACACAGAATACTCAATGAGGCAATTTTTTTTGTCATTACCAGCTGATGGATCAAGTGTAGCTGTATTTGGTTTTTGTTGTTGAGTAATTCTTGGTGATACTTCCACATTTGTCTGAAATTAACAACTATTTTTTTTGTTATTATATTCGATTAAAAATTAAAAACCTGTTTGGAAATATCTAAATTATCATTTACATTATTATCAAGTGTTTTTAATGTCATTGTTCCATCATCGATTTCCCAAGCATCATCTGTATTTATTGAGTATTCAGTAAATTTTTCTTGATCTT